ACCATTGTAATAAAATGTAGCTATCTTGCTATCGTGACAGTAATGTGACTGTTTTTCCACAAGCAGAAAATATTAGGCCCACAGAAAGGATTCAAAGACTAAACATCTCTGGCAATTTAAAAAGATTTTTGGGCTTTTGTATTATGGTTGAAAAAAAAGAGAAAACTTTAGATCTTCTACTCTATATCATCTCTAAACATAAGGAGAAACAGAAATAAGCCTGTTTATCTTTTTAGCCATTTGATGGACTTTTATATTTTCCTTTTCACAAATGCTCTGGTGAAAACTAAAGAAGCTAATCTGCCCTTCCTAAAGTCAAGAGTTCTGCTTATGTAAATGTGAACAGCAGGTGGGCAAGTAGTGTCACTGGTCAGCTCATTGCATTGGGGTGTGTCTTGATGACACTATCCTGTAGAAGGGTATAAAATGAAATAGCTCCTCTTCACCTAATGATCAGACTTAATGTTGCTAAGTATGGGAAAGAAAGGCCGCTCTGAGCTGATGTGCCTCCTCTTCACGATGGCTGTGCTTTGTCTTGAAGCAAAGATACACAAAACTGTTTACATTTCTTCGAAGAAACTCACTTGGGATGAAGCAAGAAAGCACTGCCAGGAGAACTATATCGACATGGTTACCTTGGACGTAGTAAACCCCGAGCTGCTGAATGAGTTGTTGGAGGAAGAAGACGAGCTGCTGAAAGAATTTTCGGAGGAAAAAGACGACATTAAATTCTGGATTGGTTTACATGAGGATCCTGAGCAATCGTTGGGGAGTTTGATCAGTGGAAAGTGAGTTTCCATATGATGGCATATGTATAATGACATTTCCATCTAATGAAATTCTACCGATAACCACCTAAACGTGTCTGTGTTTATTTCAGAACTGGTATAGGCTCGACAGAAGATGATGACAATGACAGCGAGAGCTGGCGCCCCACGCTGCAATCGTCTGGTGGCTGTGGCTCTTATAACAGCCGAAACAAAAAGTTGGAAATCGAGTTATGCAAAGAAGAGCTTCCCTTCATCTGCTTTGGTGACAACCTGATTTTAGTGGATGAGAAAAAAACATGGGAGGATGCACTAAATCACTGCAGGAAAAAGATAACTGCATCCTCCAAATCTGACCTCTTGAGCATTACCAACCCATCTGACTACTACTACGTCACTGATCGGATCTACAGAGCCACCACTGAGGAGGTCAGAACCCAGTTAAGTACTACTGCAGTATTCTGAACCAGACTATGAATCACTGATGTATTCCATGTTGTGTCAATCAGGTTTGGACAGGCTTGCGTTTTCTGGGAGGGGAGTGGTGGTGGTCAGATGGAGAGACTTTGGACCACCAAGAGACGCTGCCGGGGTGCCCCAGCCAGTGGCAGCACTGTGGCACCCTGTCCAAAAATAACAAGGGATTCTGGATCACCAGAGACTGCTCAGAGAGGAGGAGCTTCATCTGCTATTATGAAAAAGTAGCTTAACAGAAGGAATATGTGTAACTCTATTCACTGTTGATGTGTATAGTCCCATGCTTGCTTTCCACTGATGTAGCATTTTGTTGTGATAGACGAACATTTCAATTCATAAGTTGATAAATGTAAAAACATGCTTTTTATTTGTTAATAGTGCCAAAGCATTGATATTTTAACACAGAGAGATCCAAGATGGTAATAATCTATGTATGTAAAGCTGGACTTAGGGCTGAGGAGCAATATTTAAATATTCAACCAAAAGCAGCAAGTAGTTTGATTTATGTTATTTAATTATCTCTTATCTTATGTCTAATTGCTTTTGCATGGTCACGCTGTGGTAGAGTTTTTACCACCGTTGTCAACAGCAAAGAACAAGGCAATGGAATTCATACAGATTATTTCAGCTGGTTAAGTAGCAATCAGATAAATCTTTTTTTTTTTTAATCTAAACTTTAAAAAAGTTGAATCTAAAAGTATGTTAAAATTCAGCTGAACTAACCTGAGATGAGTTAAATTTCTTGTTTGTTTACAAATTTCCAGAATTGCTTAAACCTCCTTACTTATTAATAAAATAACACAAAGTTTCCTTTTAATTTAAATACATGAAAAACAAAACCTCCTGAAGAAACTACAGGACTAATATGAGAGCACTCCACAGCCTTATTTGATCCTCCGTAGCTCTTTATTTGCTTTAGCAGTGCTTATAGGGTCCATAACAGGCTGAACGGCCCCTTGGCAACCATCTTAAGCGTCAGATATGGTCTCTTGACATGGTGACTTATGAAATGTCTAAATATTTGTTTAATTTCTATCTATTCTTCACCATCAGTTTATAATAAGCAATAATTGTATTCTTATACAATAATATTTTGGATTGCGCTGTGTATACATCATGCTGTATAAATAAATATTCTTTGCCTCCTGGCAGATTGAAAAAGTTTCAACGATTTAGTGTCCATTATCCTCACAATTCAGTAAAAACATCCCCCAGTGCAATACCTCCACCTCTGTGCCAGACTGTCAGCCTGGTATACTAGTCATACAGTCATCTTTCTCCACACATGATGGTGGATGTGATCCTGGCCTCCTCCAAACAAAGCTCTTTCTCTGCAGTCTTTTTGCTGAATGCTTTAGCTTTTCATTTAGGGACAGCAGTCATAACAGGATTTCACTTAATTATATGGGAAAGTATGTCCGCAGTTATATCTGAAGCTAGGAAACAAAGCACTCGTAGAATTTCAAAACTCCCTGCAGTGTCCTGCTTATTCTTTACTTCCATCATGGCTTCAGCTCAGCTGGGACATAAAATATGAATAAATTGTAGGATGATGCTCCACTAGTTGATTGTTCTAATAAATATTTACAATAGGGATGCGACCAACGACAGCACATTGGCGGGACATCAAAAGAAAAATATTACTGTGGATGAATACATCATAATAAAGTTGTCATCCTTGGATGCTTTGCAGAACATAGAAATTCCTTAACAGATTCAAACACAAACACTAAACTTTAAATTTTTTGAAGCTGTGTGTTGTTTTTATCATTTTATTGTGGAAATTATGTTTGCAATAAATTATTAAAACCTAATGAGATTTATACCAATCTCTTTGGTATTTAACCTTATCTAAACAATGTTAACAATGATATTACTTAAAGAATTTAAGGATTGTGATTTTATCTTTGCTGTGGTGAAAAAGGGTCTCTCTGAAGGATCTGCTCAGTCCTGTGTCTAGGTTTCCTTTATCATACACAATAATGATAGGTAATATTGACTAGACATCCATGTAACTTTTTTTTTTTGGCTACTTTGGAATGTTGAGACTAACTTTATCATTTCAATTGTATATATATATAGTGAACATATGAAGGTGATTTTTCTACAAATGAAAACAGCATTCTCGCAGACTCTTTTGCATGTTTTTAAAGATTCGAATTCAATTCTTTGCATGTAGCCTGATCTCGTCCCGACAAAGCAAAATACTATTTTGAATGTGGAAAATTTAAATATTCCACAAGTGCGTCAGTCGTTCTCTGTACTTACAATTGCAGTGACTAGATTTTGTGGAAATTCTATTAACTTCTCAGAGAACAGTGGCTCTTGGTCTATGCAGGTCCTGCACTAAATATTTCGCGATTCTTGCAAAGCCAATGGCAAAGAGCATGGCAGGGCTTTAATGTTTCTTCTCAATTTGAAAAAAGGTAAGTTTTTGATTAATTCAATTAGAATAAATGACCTGCAGAGCAGTGATCAAGGTCCAGAAAACTATCCAACTGATTGGTTGGTTTAATCTGTAATATATCCTTTGAATAAAAACGCAGCCTATAAATCAGCCCTGAATGGGCATTAGCATGTCAAATTCACTTTTTTTTTATCAGGAGGGATATTTTCCTACCAGTCAAGCTTTGTAAATGGAGACAATTTGAATAAACCACCAAAATAACAGCTTATAAAACAGGCATGACTGCATTGGGATCTGCTTCTATTAGAATATTTTTTTCATATGGGAAAAGCTCTTTTTTTAACCAATCTCTCAATTGGTGTTTCTGTTAAATCCATTATATTAGATACCATTGGTTCCCTCTCATAAGTGACTGTTCAAGAGCTACTTAGAATTAATAAAATTAGGTTAGAATGGGAGCATAGCAACTAAATATGGGCCTAATGAAAATATTTGCCCATGAAATATGATTTTTATATTAGATTTATCATCAGTTGTAAATAGATTTATTTGATAAACACATTTAAATAAATGTATAAATGAATGTACCTCATAAATATAGCCTAATGGTTCGAAAACAGAATTGATCTAAAATGAATTTCTTTTTAAAAAAAAGATGTAATGTTTGGGGCACTTAACAACTTTTAATTAGATGTTTTGGGTTATTGCTGAGCTGAAAGATTGCTTCACAACCTGTTTAAGCAGCAGTATTTAAACATGTGTCCCTAAGAACTCCCAAGAATGATAAAAATCTACTCTTGCAGTTGTCTGTTTGTTCCCTACTCCTCTTGAGATTTCAGCTGATAAGTGAAACTGCATATATTGAATAAATTATCATAATATAGAATACATATCATAGCCAAAATAAATTAAGTCATTCAATAAAATGCTATTAAAATATACTTCTTACAGGATTGTTACCCTTATTATTGCCTTAAATAGGGAAATTAAGAATGTTATTGATTGATGCGAACTTCTTTCCTAGAAAGATATGATAATACAAAATACAACTTTAAATTGTAAGTAAATAAGTAATAAAATAATTTAGAATTTGATTTAATTTTAATTTTGGGTTTGTCTTTCTTGTCATTGGCTGTTAAAGCCTGTAGAGTGTCATCTAACTTGACAAAGCCAAATCCTGTTAAATCTTTATTGCTAGCTGATAGTTGTTATATGTGTCTATGGAATCCCAGCATCACTGTCCCAAGTAATGTATTTTATTCTATACAAACTCTATCAATCTCCAGTTTGGTGGTGGTGACATAAGGCTGTTGGACCAACAGAGCACATAGTGGATGAAATAATGAAAATGGAGGACTTTTTACAAACGCCACAATCTTCTTCACCTCAGATTATCAGCTAGTTGGATGGATGAAATTTGAACATGATTCGTTTTAACAGAAAAATATTGTCAAAACACATTGCTAGTCTAATCAATTTAGGCTAATTGGGCTTGGGCCATTTTGCCAAAATTGAAATTATATTTTTTTTACCCCAAATCCTTTTTTTTCATGTTCTTTTTTTTTCTCTTTGATTTTCCTACATTGCAGGAATTGCTTTGTTTCAGAGTTTCTTTGTTCTCATTGCCTTGAATGCCTTTTTTTAGTGCATTGTGGATTTTACTGTTTTTTATAAAATGCTTACATCTGGCTTGCATGTAGGGATCTGCATAGTCACCTGGTGACATTGGGATGTAAAGCTGTGTGCCATCTGCATAGTTATGGAAACTGATCTCTTTGTTAGCTATAATCTGAGCTAAGCGAAGCATGTAGATGTTGAATTGTAGGGGCCCCAGAATGGAGCCTTGAGGTACCCCAGATCTCAGTTTTTTGGTTTCTGACTTAAAGTTCCCTACTAATGTATAAAAGCCCTTTTGCTTTATTTAAAACCAGTCCAGTGCTGTACCTGACGCTCTGATCAAATCGAGTGATCAACGGCATCAAACGCTGCACTGAGATCAATTAGTAACAGCAGTATGGTTTTTCCAGGGTCTGAATTTATACGAATGTCATTGAACACCTTAATATGGGCAGTCTCAGTGTGGTTGGCATGGAAACCTGAGAGGAACACATCAAAAGTTTTGCACCTGATATAACCCGGTGCAATCCTTTTCTCTTGAAGAGGTTTCTCTTTTACCAATAAAACCAAACGATGTTGCAGAGCAGGCTCGTTCACAAGCTAGTTATACGAATAAATACGTCATTAATTCCAAAAGGGAAGGCCCTCTTTAAAATTGTTTTATTTAACAATAAACGTTAAAGGGGCAAATGTTCGATTTCATGTCAAACTTCGCCACAGAGCTACAGCCACACAAATGGGGCGTCACTTTCTTGCCATAGCGACAACGGCTTTCCGTTTTCATTGGAGGGAAGAGGCCATCCCATTCTCATTTATACCCTCCACCTTTAATCTAGGTACCTTCCACAGCTGCAACTGGGACTTTATTGGGAGTGGCACTTGATAATTAAGGGGAGGTACATAGTGGGAGGTTTGGGAATCAGCCAGAGGGTCTATGGAGCAGGTCATACAGCTGGCTACTCGATGCTGATTGGCAAACATACTTCAGATTTTGACTGACAGTGACCAGACAGTGAAGAGGTTTTCCTCATGAGTTGAGAGAGAAAAGTGATCATTCAGTCAGAGCAGTCATCTTGTGCTGAACTTTTGTCTATTCTTTATTATTTTAGAGCACTGCTTAACAGTTATTTTCAACCGTTGTAGTAATATGTTTTATGTCTTTCAAAATTTTTTTATGCAATATGTGACATTTGGATTTATTTAACACCATTGGGCCCCCCTGTTTCAGAGAGCAGCAGCTGCCACTGCTCTATAGTCACTAGTTTGTCAGATCTGTGCTGCCGTAGCTCCTATATAATTATATAGAGCAATTTCTAAGGCAAGGTAAAAATAAAGATTGAGACTGAAAGAAAATAAAAGACACACTTATGTATAGTATATTGCATTTCTGTCAGTAAATCCCTGTAATACTTACAGCCTGTAGCTTTAACATGAAAATATAGCATTGAAAAATATATCAAGATGAAAAGATCTTTAAAAACAAGGCAAGATAACTCTGTCTTAAGCTTTCAATAAGTTTATAGTTTTCTTCTGATGAGGTAGTCTTTGAACTGTTTGTTCATCAGGGAGTAATATCTATGAAATGCATTTTAAGTTTTAATAGAATTTATTCCAATAAAAACATTTGATTATGACCTAATCATTAAGAGAAACAACTCCTGTACCTCAAGCTTACTCATCCTCCCTCCTACATATCCTAAAACCACACCTCCTTAGACACGATTAGAGCTCCCACAGTCTAATGCTATGTTCACACCACACCTGATTTCAGCAGCAAAAGCCTGCTGTTTCATTTTTGATGCTTTTACACATTAAGGTCAGAAATGCCTCAAGAGCATCTTTGATGCTCCTGTTGCATCGAATGGCATTCACGCCATTGAAGTCATACAGTCTTTATTATTCCACTGCCTAGAAAAAAAAAGCAAACAAACAAAACAAAAAAAAACTAAAAGAGATCATTGAAACTGCTAGCAAGATCAATCCCATTTTTGGTTGTTGTGCATACCCCCCACCCCCCAAAATGGCATGTGCTTCTTTATTTGAGGTGCTTTTAATCCATCTGTTTAAAATGATAGGACAATGGGTCAGGTTGGGTGGAGGCTTTGAGGACCCAAATGCAGAAATAAATTCACAGATTTAATGAATAATCCACAGGCAAACAGGGGCAAAAAAATCCAAGAATGCAAAAATACTAGAAAAACCAAACAAAATACAATCAATGTCATGGAAAATTCACGAGAGGAGCAAGAGACGAGGAAGCAACAAATCAACAATAAAAAAGCAGCA